TAATTATTTCTGAAAACCAAAAAACATTAAAATTTAGTTTCAAATTCCTAAATTAATTTCAACTTTAATTCGGTTATTTTTTAAATTGCCTAGTTTGAGTTTATTATTAGATCTAAAAATTTTAGATGTATTTAGAATAAAATATTTAAAACAAATTACTTTTTAAAACGCAAAAAATTAAAAAAATTAGCAGTATTTGATAAATTTTAGAACTGAAAAAACACTGAAAATGAATCATTAAGCAAAGTTTACTGAAATCCATTAAGCCATTTATTTTTTCTATTATGTCCATTATCAAATGTCTTATTTTTTACTCCCAGATCTAAGAAAACGTTTTCCTTTTGAAATTCTTCCGGAGAAGTTTACTAGTTGCTTTATGGTTTTGTTCTTGGTCGATTTTTATGAAAACACTCGAAAGTTTTTAGTTGTACTGTACATATCAATAAATGGCAATACAAACGTTTTTAAATATATACGTCTCGAATTTTTTGTAATTGTTTTAATAAGAAGTTCTAAAATTGAAGCATTCATTTCATTTTGAATGAAAGAATAATTGTTTGTTTGCGTGATCAACATAAGGCCATTCCCTGCAAACAATTTCATAACATTACTTTATGTTTCTTTCTTTTGCACTATTTCCATGTCGTTTACAAATAATTCACCATCGTTATCTTCACAATCATTATTCGTGCAAAGGCGAACTTTTGCATTAACCTTTTTATCCTGAAATATAAATATCTTTTATAGTTTTTATATTTTGTCCATCTGACCAAACAATAACAACAACCTTCAAAAATTCTGAAAATTTACTTTTGCGGAAATTTTTAAATACTTTTTCTCCATTCCGGAATTAAATTGCAAAGTGAATAAAACTATGAAAAAGAAATTTTTAAAAAAATCAAATAAAAAGCTTTTGTTTTTTCAGTTAGATCTTCAAATTAATGTTTTATCAATAATTTTATTGAAATTAAAGAAATATTACGTAAAAAATATATTGGAAATAAAAAAAAATCTATAAAAGTACAGTACATGAAAATCAAACTTGTGCAAAGATCCTTGAATATATTTATAATTTTTTATTTATTCTATTATCTGATTATAATTTATGCAAATCGAAGCAGCTTTTTTTTACCCGTGACGACAAATATTCTCCATTTCTACAAATTAAGAAAAATATTATAACTCCAATCAAATTTACTCATTTTTAATATTCAAAATCGCAAATTATCTCTTGCATAAACGTACTACAAGTTAGAGAGCTACTGTGTTACTATGAAATATACAAACTTCCTGTTTTTTTTTTTATGTTGTTCAAGGCTATATTTCGATTCCTTTCAACTTATTTCAAAAATAGAATACAGCTTGAATAGCAAAAATCTCATTACGCATTTAAATATTTAAACAGTATATTAAGATATTTTTGTCATCCAGTATTGATATTAGGCTAGTATTATCGGCAAAAAACAGTATCTTTATCTTGAATATACCTGTTCTAATGATATGACACTTTACCTATTTAATAATAAAGAAATCATTGATGCAATACTTCTAAATTAAACTTAACAATGCGTTCAAGCGATTTATCTTTATTTATTAAATAATTGAGCAATTTATCAATTTAGCAAGTGATTTTATTAAAAATTTCTGATAGGAAATGTTGAAAAATTCTTTTAGTGATATATGTTATAATTAATATAATTATAATAAATTTTTTAAAATATGAAATTAAATACAATAATAAATTTCCTTCGCTATTTATAAATGAAAATACGTTACTGCAAATATAAAAAGAAGTTTCGAATGTCTTGAAAATACAGAATATCAAATTTAAAAGATAATTTATTGTCACATGTGAAAATGAACATGCGTTAATTATAAAAATAGAATGAATCACACCCGGAATAATTTACGATAAAGAAAACCTTATTTTTATTAGGAAATTAAAATATTAAAAGCAACTAAAGTTGAAAAATATGTTTCAAATTATCAATTTAACAAAAAAATATTATAGTACGATTATCTGTATTCGTGTGATAATTCGAACTGATAAACACAAATATAATTACTATTATGTATTTGTATAGAAATATTACTATAATATATGAATATTGATATCTAACAAATAAAATTTTTTTGCATTTCACAACTTTACCATTACGACAAAATAATTTAATAAAATTTTACGGGAAATTTAACCGGATATTTCATCAAAACACCGGACGTTGCGAAGATTTATTTACTCGTATTCCTGTTGAAATGGAAAAAAAAAATCACATTTAAGAAAAAAATGTTAATTTTTCCGAAGCGCACAAATGACTACACGCTGACACTTCACGTGAATTTCAACCTACCCATGTATAACGTAACTATAGTAACAAACTACTTTATTTGATCAATGCTTGTAAATTTATCACTATTGACATACTACTCTTATTAAATATTACCGAAATTATATCGAATAATCTTTCTTTTGTAAATATAATTTTGAATTTTATACTGTTAGTTTTTATATTTATATAAGAATGTTCCTTTCAAATTATTGAAAATAATACTCTTGTATTTTTAATTACATTAGAATCCATATCTAAAATAACATAATAAATATGTCGTTATGAATATACTATTAAGTAAATATGAATATCAGTAATTATGATAAAAGCTGAAATAACTATATATTACTTTTTTCCAATAAATCTAAATCACAATTTTAAATCTAATATTTTTAAATGATAACGTTTCAATTTTTTTTAATTAGAAAAATTTTTAATAGATTTGCTAGAAAANTTTCCGAAGCGCACAAATGATTACACGCTGACACTTCACGTGAATTTCAACCTACCCATGTATAACGTAACTATAGTAACAAACTACTTTATTTGATCAATGCTTGTAAATTTATCACTATTGACATACTACTCTTATTAAATATTACCGAAATTATATCGAATAATCTTTCTTTTGTAAATATAATTTTGAATTTTATACTGTTAGTTTTTATATTTATATAAGAATGTTCCTTTCAAATTATTGAAAATAATACTCTTGTATTTTTAATTACATTAGAATCCATATCTAAAATAACATAATAAATATGTCGTTATGAATATACTATTAAGTAAATATGAATATCAGTAATTATGATAAAAGCTGAAATAACTATATATTACTTTTTTCCAATAAATCTAAATCACAATTTTAAATCTAATATTTTTAAATGATAACGTTTCAATTTTTTTTAATTAGAAAAATTTTTAATAGATTTGCTAGAAAAGATTATTATTAAAACAAAATTAATATTTTGAATCAGAGATTAACAACTGTTCCATTCTTTATTTTTGAGAACTTAATATATGTTTGCATTTTTAATTACAATAAAAAACTCATAAGTCATTTTAGAGAAACTAATTGCTTTTTAACAAATGAATAAATACTTGAAAGCAATTTTTTACTATCTTAATAAATAAGTCAAATTTATGGTTTGGACCTAAATCACAAATACTAGTATACAGTATACATAAACACAAAGTAAACATCTTTTATTAATAAAAAAAAAAAAAAATTTGTCAATGGTTATTAATCAAATGTTATTTGATGCAGTGAAGAGAAACTAATAACTAGTATATGGAAATATTTAATCATAAAATAAAGTAAAAACTTGAATAATTTTAGTTCATAGTGTTCTAAATTTTATAATAAATTAATCATGTATAATTATTACAGGCTTTTATAAGTATGATTGTTAAATTTTAAAACAATTTATAAGGAAGATTATCTTCCTTATAAATTGAATTTTAATTGAAATTAAAATAGAAAAATGTAATTTTTCTAATCTTTTATTATGATAAATCAAGCAATAATAATGATTGTTGTATTTTCTATTATTGTTAATATCTATTAGATTCGCTTTATAAATTCAAAAAATATTTTATAGTAATCATAAAAATCATAATAAAGCAGCATATTGTAAAACAATTTTTAAAATATTTTCCAGCAATGAAAAAGAAAATATAATCTAAAGTATTTGTTGTGTTAAAAGTAATATATTCCTAAAAATATTTTCTTTAAATCATTTGTTAACTTTGTAAATATTTTATTTTTTAAATAATTTGGAATTGAATTTAAAATTGAAATTCTAATTTGTTTGTCATCAATTAAATATATTTTTATCAATATAATTTAAATGAATACATATTTTAAATTATATATGAAGCATCTTTTTTTAAATGGCATTTTAATTCATATTAATCAGAAAAATATCTATTCTTTGAATAATAATCAATATTGAAATTTATATGGTACTAAATAATTTACATAGAATTAAAAATTCAAATAGTTTTTAATATTTAATCTAAAAGTACAGTATTCATTAATTATTAGTTATATCACTCCATTTTCAAATTAATCACTATTGTATCTTTCTATTAATTCAAATAAATCATATTCCATGAGAAGCTAAAAAATCTATATCACGCTCCTGTCTTTGCATTAGTTAATAAGTGCCGAACAATTTTAATATATTCCAAAATATGCATTAAATAAATATTACAATTTTGTGTATGAATATTTGTTAAAATAATGCCAAGTTTCTTAAAACACTATAATATATTTTAATTTTAAATGCAGAAGGCAAATTAAAAGAGAATTTTAG